ACGCTTATCAATAAGATTATCTATTTGAGCCGAACACGGAATATATACGACTAGATGTGGATAGATAAATTCCTTTACCTGATAACCGCAAGTATTATTGACAGATACAGTTTATGATACGTCATTGTTCAACTTCATCGCAAACGGACGAACGTACAAAATCTCAGAAAAGAAAATCTCAGTTCGTGCAACTCAATAGGGACTAGATGAAAATTCGGTGACGAGAGATAATACTTCTTTCGCAAACGAAAATATTCGCTTGAATATTTTTCAGCTATATTAAAACTTGATTGCAATAAAACTGATATCTATTGATTGAGAAGAAGAAATTAAAGAAAATATAGATTTTCTTAAAACCTGTTTTTTTTAAATCTCATGAAAACAATGGTTTGCTCTATTTAAATGAAAGAATTTAAATTAAAGTAAATAAGTTATTAGTACCCACCGAATAAATATTTCTTATTTTTTTAGATATTTTTTCTCTCATAGCATAGAAATCTTTTTCTTCTTACAACTGAAGTTTTTCATCTGGTTCTTATTCTATCAGGCGGTGGAAAAACCAGTTACACTAACTGGCTATTTCGTCCGTGTAGAAATAAGGAAAGTCATAACAATTTCTAATCTTTCGTGACCTTTGCGACTTTATCCAATCGAAATTTAAAAAATCTTTTATCTCTTCGCGCTCGTCTGTATCTGTATCGATAGCTGCGACATATTTCGCACGATAACATCACGCGCTTTACACAACAATACAGCAATACACAACAATACAGCAATATTTATATCGATTGTTTATAAAGCATAAACAAATGTGTTCACAGCGGACAGTTTGTTTCGAATACCATGCACCATATTTCGAGACATTAAAGCGAAACAATGAAGGTGAAGCGTCTATAGCTTTTGCGAGAGATATTTTGGGATGTTTGCACAGCCGGTAGATGACAACAAAAATTTCGACGCTTCATTAAATTCAAAGTGCTGAATAAATTAATGCTGCGCTCAACATCGTGAAAATGCTACACCGACGCGACGCAAAATTTCATTTCGTCGAATCCGTACGCCAACAAGAAAAACGATATTGAAAAAACCGGCGCACACTTTATATTCGCTCATTGTAAATATTATTTTTGGCACGCATTTCGATTGTGTGAAGTTTCGATCTGTATCACCTGACAAACATTCGCTCACTCACTCGACAATCTGCGAAGTCGCAACGTGTCATTGGAAAGCGCGGTATGAAGAGCGAAGATAAAAGCACGAGATAACAAAGAAATTACGAAAGGAATCTTACGGATTTGAGGAAGACTAATTGCATTGTACAACTCGCAAAGGTGAAAGTTCACGATTCTTGATAATAAAGTGAGTCTCTATGCGTCAAGCATGGAATTTATATGTTTATTTTCCGCGAAAGTAAAACTGCGACCAAAGTAAAATCGCGACTTTGGAACGTCTCAAACGTCTCATTGCAAAGGGAGCTGTTAAAAGTAATATTATGGATAATAATAAAAGTTATAATGATATATTACAGAGAAAGAGAGAGATATATAGAGTTATAAAAGTAAAAGTGTTATAGGCTGTGTCATGTTGACAGTTAAAAAATCAAAGTATTTTTGAATTTGCTTCAACGACCCTAGTTAGAAACTAACTTCATTAAATGATGTTATTTTCCATAACGATTGATAGAAAACAAAAATGTCAAATTTCGTTTAATTTTAGAAATAATAGCCTGTAGCACCTTTACATCCTGTGTATATAAGATGTTTACGAAAAACCTGGACAAACTTCTAAGGTACATATTCCCGTCATCGAAATAAAGAAAAAAGTTTTTATAAATACATACTCAAATATGAGTCGTTGGAAAGTTATAACAAAACAGAGTTTATATATTAATTTTACTATTAAATAATTATAAATAAACATTTAAATTATAACAGTCGAAGCGGGCGGTATGTTTGCCAAAGATGAAACTTTGTACGACCATGATTGATGGAACGGAGCATTACATTTTAGCCGTCAAGTGAGAAATGTGCTCAATAATAATTATCTAGATAGATAGATTGATAGAGGAGGATCGGTCGAATGACCTCCACGTTTTGAATCGTTAGATCTTTATCTATGGAAACATTTAGAGCACTTCATGTATTCGTAATCTATTGATAACGAAAAGAGACTTCGTCAGCGCATTATTTATGCTTGTTAAGTTATACAAACTTTTGAAATAGTTCCTTACTCCACCATGCCAGTGCCTGTTTTCAATCAAATGGCGGCCATTTTGAGCATTTGTTAGAATTTAAATGTTTATTTATGACTATTTAATAGTAACGTAAATTTTGTTTTAGCATAATTTCGGAACCACTTGATTATGGGTTTACATAAACTTTTTTTTTTATTTTCACGTCTTAGACGTTTTTGTCCAAGTTATTTTGTTACACTATATATATATATATATATATATATATATATATATATATATATATATATATATAAAATTTTTACGTTTATCTGTTTGTTTTGTTTAAATGCTTTGTTTATTTATTTATCTATTTATCTGTTTATTCATATATGTTCATATCATACAAAAAATTTATATTTTTCTTTGCGATCTCTCTCTCTCTCTCTCGCTCTCTCTCTTCTTATTTCTACTATCACATTATTTTATTCCTGTCCTACTGTGAAACAAAATTTTTCTGTTCATAAATGATTATTATTATTGCAATAAAAGTAGCATTGCGTTTAACACTGAACTTGATTTACAAGCACAAACGATCGATCGAATTATCCGTGAACTGGGAAAAGATTGGAAAAAGATACACGTGTAAATCGCTAATCACTGTGTTGCATAATCCGTGAATATGCACTAAATACGATTTAGCTTGCTGTTTCAATACAATACGAAGAGCCGTGGCGATTTAAGAACAACATGCATATTCGAAACGAATTACGTTAAACTGAATTTGCAAGATTCCCGACGATCATTGTGTACTCAACGCGGCAAAATACTTACACTCAACTTTGTCAAATTTAACACCGCATGTTGACGCAACGCGTTGAGAAATACGTATGCCATATTTACGTGAGTCACATTCGATTTACGTAATCTGTACTGTTATCAGCACTATAAATATTCCTGAAATCGTATTTTTCATATTACGCTATTGTTCATTGGTACCTAAAGCAAATATCGATATTTTCTTACGGTTGCTTGTAATTGAATTTCTTTTTCTCTTTTGATGCACCGTCGAGACACCACGCAGTATTGTCATACGTACACAGAGAGCATATTTCTTTTATACACTAAAAAGAATATTTGGTTGGATCAACCAAATGTCTGATGAAATATAAATAAATCGGAAGTCTGGTTGAAGTTACACTGAAAAAAAAGTACCAAAAAATTTATTTGTAAAATTTCAAGTTTATTCACAGAAATAAACTTTATATCTTACAAATCAATTTACAAGTATTTTTTCAGTCTATCAGAATTGTATTTAAATTAGCAAGATTTCCAGTTAATTATCTATAATTAATCTTTCGTAGATAATTATTGATCGATGAATAAAATAAATATCGGTGATTAATTATAACGAATTATCAAGGAAAAGATTGCAGATAAATTTAGATAAATTTGTATAAATTAAAAGTTGGAATTATCTAGGCAAATCTAAAATTAAAAATTGCACGTATCTACGGATAGAATGATCAATCTATTGTATTTGGAGCTATTACAGGTACCCTTGAAGAAAACGATCTGATAAGTGTAAATTTCAAGTTTGCATTTCCCTTTTTGACATGCTTAATCTCGAGAACATTTTCCGGTGATAGGAATCAAAATTTGCGTTTGCCATGTGCAGAAATACTCAGATAAGCTGAACTTTGAAATGTGGCTTATTATCGTGATATTTAGTAAAAGTATTAGGTGAGCAAAAAAGTTCTGAGCTTTTTTTGCAAAATTCAATCTTTATTAAAAAACAAAAAAAAAATATTAATCAGCGAAATATTCCCCGTTTGCATCAATGACCTTTTGCCATCTTTCGGGTAGCTCGCGAATTCCTTGACGATAGAAGCTCACCGGCTTCGAAGCGATAAAGTCATCAATGCATTTTCGTATCTCTTTAAATCTCACAAAATGTGTATCAGCCAAGTGATGCTGCAGCGACCGGAATAGGTAGTAATCGGAAGGCGTCATGTCTGGACTATACGCCGCGTGCGGGAAAAGTTCCCAGCCTAATGCAAAGATATGGTCCTGAGTCGCTTTCGCAACATGTGGTTGGACATTGTCATGAAGCAGGATCACTTTACGACTTCCTTGACCAGTAAATGGCCTTTTTTCTTCTAATGCATCGCTCAAATTGGTCAATTGTTGTTGGTAGCGGTCTGCCGTGATTGTTTCACCCGGTTGTAACAATTCGTAATATAACACACCTTTCCAATCCCACCAGATGCAGAGCAAAACCTTCTTGGCGTGGATATTGGGCTTTGGCGTCGATGTTGAAAGTTGATCAAGGTCAACCCATGATTTTCTACGCTTAGGGTTATAATAAAAAATTCACTTTTCATCGCCTGTAATGATTTTGTGCAGAAAGTCTTTTTTTCGGAACTTTGAAAGCAAAATGAGTGCAGTGTCACGCCGTCGATTTTTGTTGTCTTCGGACAGTTTATGCGAAACTCATTTGCCTTCCTTCTGAACCTTTCCCATTGTATGTAAACGTACAGAAATGGCTTGCCGCGTAACGCCAAGTTGTTCTGCAAACTCCTTTTCAGTTTGCGCGGAGTTTATATCCAGCAATGCTTGCAATTCGTCCGTTTCAATCTTTTGAGGGCGTCCAGCACGCGGTTCATCTTCAAGACTGAAATCTCCTTGACGAAATTTTCCATACCATCTTTTACACGTAGCATGACTTATAGCGTTTTCTCCATATGCAGCACAAATCATTTCAGTGGCTTCAGCAGCATTTTTCTTCAGATGAAACGCGAAGTGGATGGAAAATCGAATATGCTCTTTTGTTATTGCCATCGTGAATATTATTGATTTTTTAGGTTATGTGCATCAAACGCCAAATCGCATGGCATTTTAGAAGGCAAAATGTCAAAAATGTCGCTTTAAAACCGCAAAAGGGCGGGAAGATAAATAAAATTTAAATTGTTGTTTCGGTTGTATGAAATCTAAAGCTCAGAATTTTTTGCTCACCTAATAGCTTGCAGAAAAAATAAACACGTATTTACAATAGAGACTCCATTATTTGAATCACAATCGGTCGGTAATGTCAACATTCTCTAGTTACCTCTAAAGCATTTTTACAGTCATGCGATTCCTGTAAGTTCGCCGGTCGGTAGATTTCCTGCTAATTATTTCCACAGAGTGAAATCAATCCTCGCCGGTAGATGTTGTGTCGCAATGTTTTTGTATTGCGTCATTTCTGAACATGACATTGACAGTTGTCTGGACAACAGAAATGTGAATGAGTGCGATTATCAGCGTATGGAAAAGTACTTGTTGAAGAGTCACGTGTAACAACAATGCGTTAAAAACAATGGACATATCTGTGTATATTCAGTCGACTGTTACATCTTTGTTGCAGCTAATATTGAAACTGAAACTGTTGCATTCATCATAGTGATACATAAAATAAAGTTATATATAGAGATATATATATATAGAGTTGTGGTACACAATAAGCTGAAAAACATCTCATAGAAATGGCAGCAAATTACGTGTGGGAAGCCGAAAATGCGGCAGCAACATGCTCCACTGTATGTGATTTTGACCATGTTCTTCTCATATCCTAAAAATTACATTAATCAAATTCATACAAGTTAAAAAGTTCATGAAGGATAGTAATAAAATTAGAGCTATGATATTACCATTAATGGCACAGTAATGTATTACTTCTCCTATTTGGACTTGCCATTAAAAGTATAATTCTTCAAATAAATCCAAAGATCTAAGAACATATATGATGCATATTTCTATTATCATTAAAATATGTATTGTTATAGAATATTTATTGAGTGTGCATTATCCTCCTTTGTGTACAACAGTTATAACAATACAAGCTGTTATGATCTATATACTTATATATAGCGATGCTGACTTGTAGATATAACAATAGCTGTGTTCAACAAAAGAAGCTGTTCCATAACTGTTATAAAATTTGTGAACCTGTTTGATATATGCATAGTCTAGACATCTAAGAGCATATATAGCACAATATAGCATATTCATAAATTTTACAATAATTGCAAGACAGCTTTCTATGCTGAACGATAAATATTTCTTAGCGTGCAACAGACAAAAATATTTGATACTTTCTTTTATATTTTCAGACCAACGAGAGCACACCACTTCTGTCAGCAAGTGGTCAAGCCAACATGACTGAGAAGAACGTCGGTGTCTCTCAGCAGACCCTAGTTTCCACTGATAGTCCACCATTGAGCCAAGGGAAAAAACTGCCGCAGTACCTGGCAGGTGTCGCAGCGACACTTGGTGCTCTTGCTGCTGGCATGGTGCTGGGCTGGTCGTCTCCTGCTGGAGATAATGGCAAAAACCTGGAAGAGCAGTATGCTATACCCATGAGCCCAGAGGAGTTCTCCTGGATAGGATCGCTGGCTACCCTGGGAGCTGGCGCGATTTGCGTCCCTATCGGTATACTAGCGGACCTGATAGGCAGACGAACGTCCATGCTAATCATGGTGGTACCTTTCTGCGTTGGCTGGCTGCTCATCATCTTCTCCAACTCGTTGATCATGTTCTACTTCGGCAGATTCATCACTGGCGTGAGCGGCGGCGCGTTCTGCGTGGCTGCGCCGTTATATACCGCCGAGATAGCCGAAAGCAGCATCCGCGGCACCCTCGGTTCATTCTTCCAGCTGATGCTCACCATAGGTATCCTACTGACGTACATTCTCGGCACCTTCCTCACGATGCAACAGCTGTCGATCATCTCAGCGGTGGTGCCGCTGATCTTCTTCGGCGTGTTCTTCTTCATGCCAGAGACGCCGTTCTATTACTTGCAGAAGGGCAACGAGGACGCCGCAAGGAAGAGCTTGATTAAACTGCGTGGCCTTCAATACGATATCGAGAGTGAGCTGCAAGCGCAACGCGAAGTGGTCGAGGAGAGTAAACGCAATCAAGTGTCTTTCTCCGTCGCGATCCAATCGAAAGCCACGAAGAAGGGCTTCGTGATCGCTTACGGCTTGATGTTTTTTCAACAGATGAGCGGTGTAAACTCCATCATTTTCTATTCCTCCGGTATATTCACCAAGGCTGGCAGTAGCATTCCACCTAACGAGGCCACTATCATCGTTGGAGTGGTTCAGGTGCTGGCTGTCTTCGCTAGCACCATTGTCGTCGATCGACTTGGCAGGAGGATACTGTTGCTGTCATCGATTATAACATTGCTTGTGACAACTTTCGTAATGGGAATTTACTACTACTGCCTAGAGAACACAACTGCCTTCGACAACATCAAGTGGTTCGCGATTATTCCGCTGTGTATCTTCCTCATCATGTTCAACTTTGGCTTCGGGCCGCTCCCGTGGATGATGATGGCCGAGATCTTTGCGCCGGAGGTGAAGGGAATTGCCGGGAGCAGCGCTTGCCTCTTCAACTGGATCATGGCGTTCATCGTGACCAAATTTTATAGCAACATGACAAACACCCTGCAATCATATGGCACCTTCTGGATATTCTCTGTCTTCTGCGCCGTTGGCATCTTCTTCGTTTACTACTTGGTGCCTGAGACCAAGGGCAAATCATTGGATGAAATACAGAGAGAATTGAATAACGGCTGATCGATTCCCTCATAGATAATCAAGCGTGTATATATATGATGCAACAATGTTCCTCTTTCTTCGTCACTATGATCTCATGAATAACGTTAGAAAAAAACACGCAAATGAACATACAAGTAAAAAAACATGTTTTGGTAAAATGACATTTGGCGGTACATTTGGCGGTAAAGTCCAACAATCTTTCCCTTTGCTATAGTCAACAACTAATTATTAATGGCTATTAATAGTTAAGTATTAATGCGACAAAATCACGTAGCTCGAAGATGAGTCGTTATCACATTAACCTCCTAATGAATATATCTAATAATTATATGTATTTAATAATTATTAGATTGAAAGGAGTATTTTCGGAATATTCTATAAGTCTGCTCAATCAATTACAAATATCATCCTACGGATATACTTTTTTATCCCAATTAAGAATTTTGAGCGTGTTTTTTCACTTCTAACATTATCGAATCAAAGTGACCGCAGCGAGCAATCAGGAACATTAAACGAAGAGAATTGTAAATTGGCGATGTAATACGTAATACGTACGAAATGTGTCTATAAAATATTATTTTATTACTATATATAATAACAACACCTTTATTTTTTCGAGGCAGCATCGATAGATAATATTATTGCGAGATATAGTTTTTTCTGTGTAAAATATTCCCTGTTCTTCATAAAATATACAATAAGACTGATTTTTTTGTAAACTTGTATAGTGTTTTTATTGATATACTTTACGATAATGTTATTTATACTTTACTATATGTATTTACTGTATGATTAACTATATGTATATAATAATACACGTGATAAACTTTGAACTCACTGCAAAATTACTAACCACCTGAATCAGAATTTGCATTGACAATCAAACTCGGTAAATACGAATTCGTAGAGTGAACTCAGCGCTCTTCGTGCGCTATCGCTTTCTCTCTTTTCTCACAGATGTCTACACTGTGAAATTTCAACCGAGTTCTCCATAAGAAAGAAATAATATATACTCAATATTTTATTATATATCTTCTTTTTTCTGTATTACCTATATATTATCATCGGCAACATAATTGCATTATGTCGGTTGTGCGATAAAAAATTTCGAATTTTTTCGCAAATAAAGCACATATATTTGTGTTATAATTTGACGAATTAATGTATGTGAAGGATGCAGAAGATCATAAATCAGATCGAAACATACATTAATTAACAACATACATACATAAAACAACGACATAGAAATACAATCGCTTCATTTTATCTGAAAATATATATAATCGTAAATTACTTATTACACCACTCAATATTATTTCATCATACGTAAACTCGTGTTAAGCATATATTTTTAAACTCGCGATAACTATCGAAATCGAAATATAAGCATTCTTTTATCCACACGTGTCAAGTGTCAATTGTCGAATAACAAATTTTGAAATCACATAATAATAATCGCATGTACATCGAAAACAAAAATACGTATGAATGCATCAAAAATAAAAATACGTTCTTTTCAAAGATGACTTACGTGGGAATTTTTTACCCCGAGAAAATGAAACAATTTCATTACCCGGCGAATATGCAGCATCAGCATTCAGGTCATGAGACAATTTTTACATCCGGCCAATTGGATTTAAAGAAGTTTATATCTCGATTATTCGACCAGCGACCAATCAAGAACCAAGTGGTCGTTAAGCAAAAATTGCATATGTAACTCTCACTTCCAGAAGATCGCACAAAAATTACACATCGATAACCTCTTTTTTTCTGCTTCTCCCTCTTTTCGCAGGTTCGTTCGTCGAGTCATCAGCGTTCATGGGCGCTTTTGCGACGCAGCACGCTAAAATCGTCGCTTTTCTCGCGCTCGTCGTGGCGTGATCGCAATTTAAAGTGTCGCGTGCATTGTGCATGCACGCGTGACACGGTGTCGTCGTTAATGGGCACCAAGTGGCTGCAACTTGTGCACCTACGCGTCTTCTGAGCGTGCACCGAAGATAGAAGAGGTTACTTCTTCCCAGCTGTCTCTTCCGCTACACTTTCTCCGATTCTTCTCTCGCGCTCTCGCATCCTCCAAACACCGAAGCACACATCCGGTTTCATTCTAAGGCAAAATTCGTTTTCGCACGTTTTGTTGTTGCCGCTCATTACATACCGAAGAAAAATAGAATGATGCTTTCTGACAAATTGCAATTCTAAGCTGACTGCTGCAATTCTAAGCAGAATCGTAAGTCTCGTAACTTGTTCGAGATCACTTGTAAATATCGTAAATTACATGAAATCGTAGATATTTATGAGTAATTGTACGACATATGATATTGCATAGACTTGTAAATCTACTCATAAGTTCTGACGAATTTTACGAGAACAAATTACGAGATTTACGGTTCTGCTTAGAATTGCAGCATTACACAATAGATCTAACTAGGTCTATTCTGTAATGTACTTTTAAGACAGTTATCGTTACGTTATCATAACGCGCAGGTATTATATATGGTAGAAAAGCTGCGTAACAACACATTATGCTAGTGACATTGTCGTTAGGAAAAAATTACGGAACAGGTCTATAAGAAAGTATAACGTAGTGCAACGGTGAAAAGAGTGAAGCCGGCCACAAGTAACGTGTTGGAAATACAGGGTTGCGAGTAATCGATTACCAAGCTTCATTGGCGATTAATATGAGCCAATTCATTTGGACACCGTTTAATTGACAATTGATTTCAACAAACTCGGTCAAAGACCGTTTAATTGACAATTGATTTCAACGAATTTAATAAAGATTGTTCAATTGGCGATCGATATGAGTGAAGAGAATCAAAGATCGTCCAATGAACAATTGAACTTAGTAATTTTGACGAGAGACTGTTTAATCGATGATCAAACTCGACAATTTTAATTAAAGGTTTTCTCTTTGACGATTGATATGAACAAATTCAATCGATTCAAGGTTACAATTGATAATTGGATGGGATGAAAGTCTTTATCAATAAAATAATATGGGTTATAAATGCTAATAATATTTATTAATTTAGAGTAACTTTTTTATCAAGTTTAATCGTCCATTAATTTCGTCTTAACTACCTAAACTATGGTCATAATCACGATTTTATTATTCCACGAATGAGAGTTTAAATAATATTACTATGTCTATTAACAATAATTAATAATAAAACAAGTTATTTAAAAATTCATTTGTTAGATTATTTTCTTGGTAGAGAAACCATTTATTGCTTCTAAAATTCTTTTTGAGCTATTTTCTCCTAAATAATAAGGCGCGTCGCATTAACAATTATATAGGGTGTTATCTTTCTCCCGCCCACTTTTATTTATGGTAACTTTTCAACATTTAATACAACACATCTTTAGCTAAGCCCTGAATTAAAAATTTATTCAAAGAAAATGTACTTGAAAGTGAAGAAAATAGATTTGCTGTCCACTTGGTCGTCCGAAGCATAGTTTACGTAATGTCTTGTTTCTTCGATCACTTATTTATTTTTCATGAACCACATCTTGACATTTTCGCTGGATACTTTTTGGCTTAAATTTTCACGAGGAATAACGTTATATATCTAGTGGGCGGGGGAAAGATAATACCCTACATATTTTTAATCTACCTAAAAATAGTTATAATTTTATTAAAAAATAATTTAAGATTTCGAGTGCTGGAATTAAACTTGGTCGCATTTCTTGCTTGAATGACATTGCTAGAATGCTGCTGCTATAAATTGTTTATTCTATGTTATATGCTATGTATAGATTTTATGCTATGTATAAATTTTATACATATATAATTTTATAGCAGAAACAAAAAAGCAGCGATAAATTTTCACTATGACATTTAGAATTTCACTTGGAACTTTTAATAGAATATGTTTTTGAGCGTTAAATTAAAAAAGTGTAATTGACATTTTTATAGCTTCAGTGACGTACGTACCTGAAGCGTAAATTTTTATTTGCATTTCTCACTTTGCCTTATGGATTATTCATTGTGTATTTGACGTAGGCAGCGAATTAATCGTACATTCCACATGAAATCGTGCCTAGCACTTAATTTTTCTCGCTATTGCGTATCATATTTGCGGACCAACTGTGCAATGTTCACGAAGATATTACCATGTGAAGTTGTGCTAATATCACAATCGCAGTCGTAATCTCGATTCCATAAGCGGACCAATCGTATTCCATAAGCTACCCGAGTGGGGTGCAAGTTCATACGGAACAAATGATGCCGTCATGTCGCGCGCGATGTTGCCACAGAATCGAGGAAGGAAGCGAATCCGTGGACACACTCGCTGATTTCGCGCCAGGTAGCTTCCATCTAACCGGAATATTACAGCCCACCTGTCTGTCAAAAGATAGACCTGCGCGAAACTAAGTCTCGCAACTAAGTGGCACGATACGTTTGTTTCAGCTGGCACGCTGCGTGTCCGTGGCGGTGTACTCGCGCGGATGTTAGTGCAACTTAGTTCGGGAATAGTACTCTTTATCCTCAAATAGATCTCTCGCGTCTATTTTCCTTCTCGTCTCTGGCTCACGTCCCGGTCGGAGATTTGGCCACACATGCGGACACTTGGTGAAGAATCCTGCGAGAGATCCGCAGACGACGTCCCCACGCTAAGCTAGGTACGCTATTTCACGATCCGCTCGTTCCCGGTAACCTCTTTACTTTGTACTAAATTTTCGTTATATCTAAGAGATGATTGGGTGACTAGACATTTCCACAAAGGGAAAATCGATCGGCAATGTTAGCGGATTAATCGGGCACTAACCCGACACGATGACGACGGAAAATACCATGCGCACCGGGAATCACGCAGTTCTTAGCATCCGCGAGCATAAAATATACGCATTATTGAGATATATCCTGGTCACAATCACGCGAGTTCGAGAAGTCTCAGATAGACAGACGTAAAGGATCCCGCACAAAACCTATGGAAAATGGTTTTCGGTCAAATTAGCTGAAATTTCACTATGTTATAGTTTTCGCCATGCTGATAAAAAATTATCATTGCACCAAGTCCCAAAAGTCAATATTTCCCAAGATATAAAGGGTCAAAGTAGTGAAATATGGTCATCCGCAGTAGTAAGATGTATAAGTGATACATTGATATTTATTCACGAAATAAATAAAAATCGATTTTTACATATATATATGTAATAAATATTTAGTTCCGCAATATATATGTATATGTATATACAGGGTGGGGCAAAAGTATCGGACCGGTGAAATATCTCGAAAAATATAAGTTTTACAAAAAACTGTTTCAGATCTTAAAAATATTGCGGAACTAAATATTTATTACATATATATGTGTAAAAATCGATTTTTATTTATTTCGTGAATAAATATCAATGTATCACTTATACGTCTTACTACTGCGGATGACCATATTTCACTACTTTGACCCTTTATATCTTGGGAAATATTGACTTTTGGGACTTGGTGCAATGATAACTTTTTATCAGTATGGCGAAAATTATAACATAGTGAAATTTCAGCCAATTTGACCGAAAACCATTTTCCATAGGTTTTGTGCGGGGTCCTTTGGCAAGATTTACTTTCTCACGCGACATCTAGAAGCTATCCAGTTCATCGATTTTTCTTTCATTTTTTTTTTTTGATCAATTTACCATCAATTTAGTAAACTCGTTGCTGTATTAGTATAACAAAAAAATTACAACTAGATAGCACAGTCTACTAAAAAATGTCTTAAAGACGTCCAAACGATATCTCGATTTCTTTTACACATGTTTTCAAAATATCTTGGTAGTTTGTGCTGTTGTAACATAATGTAAATTTGATCATGATTTTAATACGCAAAAGTACATTCGTACTCCATGAGTGCAATTACGAGACTGCAAAGCCTCCATCATCGATTGTCTCGACAATTATGAAAGTCTATATGAAAAGGGAGTATAGGGAGGAAAACAGGGTGGTGAGAGGAGGATCGCGTACACTCGTGTCGTGTATATGCCACACGTTTGAAGTTAGGCACCTGTGCGGTGTTACATTCGATAAAGACGTGGAAACACGGGAGAATTTATGCGTATAAAATCGAAAGGTACATAAACAAAGATCACGTAATAAACGCGTAAGGTCAGAGAAATAAACATAGCGGCTGTAAAATTTCGGTTCGTTCAATCAACAATCGCGAAAGGATAATCGATACCGATATCGAGACGCGCTCTCTCGATTCGACCAACGGCTAACCTCAGACGCGGCGTATACGGGACGCCGTATACATACGTGGAAAAGGGAGAGGAAGGCCGCGCGTCGATGCCGACAGAGAGGAAACGAGGGGGCTCGCGTGGTTCGCCGGAGCCAATCACGATCGCGCATTGTGGTCCGACGTGGTGAGCTGGAGGGGAGGCCAGCTGGTCGCGCGACTCGCGCGGTTGTCACGTTGTCACTGCTCGTCTGCGTGATTCGACCGGAACCGCGGTACGCCGGGTGGAGTCGGAGAGGAGCGAGTATTCGGATGTGACAGAGTGCCGTGCACTGCCGAATACGTTAAGCTCGTGACACGGGAGATAAGAAGCTGCGTATCGCACGATTGTGACAGTTCATCGGGTACGAGCGTATTGCGGACGAGGGAGATAGCGACGCGAGAGAGGGGCCGGTAGGGGAAGGAGGTACGCGCCGCTGCCGCCGCATCGCCTGGCAGTTGAGCCCTGTATAAACGACGGACGCCAGGCAGCCTGCCGCTAACTTCGCGTAGCGTCGATTGAACGATCCGGCTCTTGCGGACTCTACGGACACCTCTCCTCTCCTTCACGGGCACATTCACGGGAAGGACCCGGTCATCGCGGTGTCTCCCGCTTCACGGTCGGCTCACCGTCTTTCACCGCTCGCGCGACACCACCCGCCTCTCTTCGCGCGCTGTCAGTGACAGTCAGGTGCGCGTGCACTCGGGATACATCGGCACTGACACCGTTGTCTGAGAACGGAGGACGCCAAACAATCAACCAAACAGGATGAACTACGGGGATCTGTCAAACGTCGATCCCGCCAGGTATGTTAGTCAGTTAACTTCCTCGTTACCGATGCCTCTTTCGCGCGCATACATACTCCGATTGATACGCCCGGATGTTTCGTCCAGAGTTTCCGTTCATGTCTCATCGTTCGCGATCGATTACACGCACACAAACACAGTTGGTATTCGTATTTCGATTTTGCATGAGTGGAAATACTCACGCTCGTGAGTGCATAGTACGAGCCTATACTAATAATTGTTGGTTGTCTCAAGTGAAATTCACAGAGTCAGTTACGAGTTTTGCAGTAGAGTCATATATAGCATAGTGTTCGACTGGAAAACTTGTAGTCATATTAATAATTGCTCTTTTCAACTTGTCTCTTAAGCGAGACATTCAAATTTGAATTTAAAGTTAAATATAAGTTTTTCAGCTAAATTATGATTAGAAATCTAACGTCTCGTGTATTACATGATTTAAATGAGAAACCTGTATTATATGATTATATGACTGTGCATTATATGATTCAAATGAGAAACTCGAACCTAACTTTAAATTCAGATCAGAGTATTTCATGTGGGACAAGTTCCAAGGGGAATATTCAGATTTGAGTTTAAAGTCAAGTATGAGTTTTTCAGTTGAATTACAGTAATAAACGTAATGTTTCATATATAATTTATAAACTCTAATCTTTAAATTTAGATCTGAATGTTTCACATTCAAATATTCAAATTTGAATTTAGAGTTAGATGTGAGTTTTTCAGTTGAGTGTCGCGATCAGAAATATAATGTTACATATATGTGTGTGCGCGCGCGCGCGCGTGTGTGTGTGTACTTCAAATTTGTGAAATACTCAGATCTGAATTTAGAATTAGATTAGGATTTTGCATTTAAATTATATAATATATATATATATATATATATATATATGTATATATATATGTATATATATATATAATATATATATATGTACATATATATATATATATATATATATATATATATATATATATATA